ACCCTGGAGACTATCAAGGATGGCTGGTCGTCAGCATTTATAATACATTCCACCTGGCATTGACTGAACTCAACTTGACTATACATTGTATTTACATTTTCTGTCGATTTTATTCCATTCAAATCTGTTAAAAACTTGAAGCATTTAGAACCAGTTCAAAATCATAATTCTACTTGTCAATGAGGACTGTTATCACTGGATTACTACTTGTCCTCAGCACAATAAGTCATCTTTGGCTCCCAGAAACACATGAATTTTGAAGGCTGTACCTAATTCTGTAATACTGTAATACATAAAAACCTGAGATGACATAAAACATTCAAGAAATGTCATGAGAATGAATATTTCACAAAAAAGATTAACACGGTCATCTGAGATCCTTGAAGCAGAATATAATATTTATAATTAGTGTTCACTTGCCCAGTAATTGCATTTTTATCAAATCTGCTAGTCATTTCTACAATCCTGGCCTTCATGCCATATGCTTCTTTAGGCCTAAAAAAAAAATGTTGTGATTCCGATTACCCGACCGACCCTTGAATTCTGGTGCTGACCCTAGTTTTTTAAAGAGGTATGAATAAAATAAGCTTTCAGATACCATTGTTTTTGCCTGGCACCGATGTACATCGGTCATTCTGCTAGAGAAAGTCGACATGATGGCCGCAAGCTTGATTGAATAAACAATTACACATTTATAAATGTGTTATTATTTCATACTTTACTTCTAAAACGAAATGTAAAAAAAAAACATACCTACCTACCCTAAATTTTAAAGGTGTAATCGGAACAAGATTTTTTTCTTTGGCCTTAGTTGGAAGCTGTTATCTGTTTAGTTTATTTCATATCAGGGCTCTATTTAGTGCTTTGTTACTTGCACTGGTGCAACCCAACATTACAAAGTGCAACCTAGTTATTTGTCTAACTTGCACCAGGTGCAAGTCAATTTTTGAGACTTCAGCTGGAAAAAAGAATGATGAAGAACTGACTTGGAAGAGTGACTCTGGTGACTGTATGAGCAGTGACTGAAGGATTTACTGTTCATGAAATTTTAGGGAGTAAGATAACTAATCTTATCAGTACCCGATTTCTTTTGTTATAATGTTCTAAACTATCATTACCAAAACTCAAGCATCATATTTTATACAAGATTCTATAGTGAGGAGCAGGTGTAACCTGTTTTTGTCTGATGCAACAAGGTTTCTACCTGAGGTTGCACTGGGTGCATGTAGGTTTCATTTCTTTAAATCGAGCCCTGCATATTATCTGTACAACTGGAAGATCATTATCAAAATTCCAGGAAATGTCTTTACTCTCTAAAGTAAACTACCCAGCACTCACTTTGTTGACTTTGTATGAAAAAAACATAAAACATGTAAAAACCCTTGACAGAGGGAGGTGTATCCATATGTGTACCAAAAATTATGTCAACTCATTCAACAGAATGTTCAGTGAACCAACATTCGCTTGTGAACAAGTATTTTAAAAATAGTTTTGAGGTGGTATCCTGCACCAATCTGACAGCCACTTGTGAAGAGGTATTGACCAACACACCTTCATGGTGCTTCCTACAACCACTTGACAACTGACATTCACCTGTGAACAAGGATTGACCCACACACCTTCGTGGTGGTTCCTACAACCACTTGACAACTGACATTCACCTGTGAACAAGGATTGACCCACACACCTTGGTGGTGCTTCCTACAACCACTTGACACCTGACATTCAATTACACAATGCCATTTAGAAAGTGGTCATATGTAACCATTGTTATATTTTGGATTACACTTTCTTAGTAAAGTACAGATTCTAGTACTTTTGGGGGTTCAGTCCCATTCGGGATTTGAACCACCATCTCAGACTCAGGCACCGAATCGCCAGCAAACAAAGTCAGCAGCCTAACCAGTAGGTCCAGTGACTTGAGATTTACTGGCTCGACAGGATTTTTACTAGTCATAGGCGAGTAGGCCAGTGGCTATTTCGCACACTGATCTGACAATGACAACCGGCACAAATAATACGGAACATTATTTTACCCATAAGGTGAAACATAACCAGTGTAAACAATTGTCATATGTGCACATGTGCATATATCACTTTTGCCTAGCAACCATTGTTTCTGTATTTTGTCATCTGTGATGTTACCGAGTTTTACTGCACAAATACACATGAATAAAATGGATAATAAAGAAATCATTACACTCGAGCAAGTGTGTTATATGACTTACACGAGACAAGTGTGAAATTATGTATTACAAAAATTTCACACTCGTTTCATATAAGTCCTATGACATTTGCTTGTGTAATAATCTCTCTATTTTTTATCAATGAATCTCCTTAGATAATGACACCAAAGCCAGAAATTCTCCACTTGGCCAGACCAATTTTATTTCTTGTTTTACAGATTTTTGTCCTCCGAAAAGGCAGGAGGGAAAAAAAAAATTTAAAAAAATACTAAAAGTATTTTACTTTTGGCAATTTATGAAGTGTAGATAGGGCAAAAAACAACCTTTTTCAACAATAAAACCCCCAAAACATTTTGAGCTGGGAAAATTAACTTCTAATTTTTTGCTCTTATTCTTGAAAAAAACATGACCGGCGGATCCTAAAACAAGAAATATAATTGGTCTGGACTTACTTAACATTTAAAAACCAGTGTCTATTGTCATACCTAACAAACCCATTGAGAAAAAAAAAATCAACATACTTCTACACATTTCTGATGGTAACACTTTTAATTTCTCACAGCAATAAACAAATATATGGGTCAATGCTGGAGAAATATGCAGAAACTGAGGTACGATTTCAATATTTTAGTGTTAAAGTCAAAGTCTCTTGACCCATTGGATATAGGTACCTGTGCATAACAAAAAGACCGGGGTTGAGCTCAAAATTGTACTGGATCTAAACCATTTGACCTTTTGCATAAAGGTAGCCTGCAGTTATTTTCGAGAAAGTTGGCAGGCTGCCAGGAACAGAAGAATGAGACTATGGCCTGTTTCATAGTTCTCACTGCCACACAGGATTGGTCTTGGCTGAAACAAAGCCAGCTTGACTGATTTGTGTAAAACCTTTGCATCAAGACTTCTGTGATTTATCATCTGAACATTATGCACAGCTTTTCAGCACAATGAAAGGGAACGTACACTGAAAGCACCTTTAATAACACATACAATTAATCACTAATCTTAACGATACAAATTTTCTAGTTACTGACCCAGACACTGAATGAATGCCAACTATTATTGTGCTGCAAAAGACAAGTGTGAACATGATCAAGATAAATTAACAAGACAAGATGTACACAATAACTTAACACTGTAACCATGGAACACCACTTGGGGTGAAGAGGTCATGTCAGCACAAGTACCTCAGAAATGTACCTTAAACAAAGTCTAAATACAGAAATGTACCCGGTACCCTAAATGTCTGACAAGCATATATTGCGCAACCCCAAACCCAAACTGTATGTAGTTGTTTCTGTTCAACCTCAACTGATTGCAAGTGGTGTTGTGCATCATGAAATATTTGTTACTGTGTATGCTCATTTCTTATATAACATAGTCAGATGTACTTAATACAACAGTATGACAGTCAAGAAAAGGACAAAGCAGAATGGACTCGTCCTGGAGTACATTTCTGTATTTTGATTTTGGCTAGGCGTACATACCTGGGGTAAACATCTGTAGTACCCATGCCGACAGCAGCCCTTTCAGTACCACAAGGACAATATATTTTGGATTCATTACCTGTTTGACATCACTGACTTTGTGGAGATCTAACTAACCCTTACATGATGTACTATTAATTGTGGTGTCAGACTCCAAGGTGCACCATTCATCTGAGATTATTACCAAAGATTATGTTCATTATTGACTCTAGACGATAAAGAAACAGCTTGGATCTGTCAATGCATGCCACCAATCATGGCAGTAATACTATTATCACTACAATAAGATTTTAATTACACCAAAACCTGGGACCTCCGCTCCATTTATACCAACACAAACCAGTTAAAGAGCCAGTCAAGTAACATAATCTGCTAGTCTGAAAATAAGCTGTGAAAACACCTAGTAAAAACATTACAAAAGGGTCAACGTATTACACAACATTCCCAATATCATGTGAATATATCAAGCAATCACGGGGCAAGTCAAAACTTCAAATTGGAACTACCTCTACACCACTCAACTTTGTTAATTAATAATTCTTAAAAATCTCAAAAATAACATAGGCATGTAAACACATTACTGAACTCTTTAGCCAATTACAGGTGTAAAGTTTTCAGCAATGTAATTCTAAGTTTCCATCTGAAATGACTCAAATGAAATGAATGCATTTGAAAGCAGCTTTGAAATGTTACATTTTACGACAATCTCTTGGAATACCTCGTTTCACGAACATGATCGGATGTTCAATTATAAATCAAAGAAAGGAGCTATTTATAGCATAATCTTCCTCATGACACAGCTAAATGGAAATAGACTATATATATTGGAGAGTATTGGGGAACGAACTATAGGGGTTTGTGTTGACACTTTGAGAAACAGACCATAGGCACTGAATAAGTGAATTCTTTCGTTTTCAGGTGAACTGACATTACGTTATCTGAATAAATTGTTGAAATAATTACCTAAATGAAACTATGAAAGCAAACGGTGTGGCCCAGACGGTACATAACGACAATACCACATGCAGCAAATTTTGTTGATCGTTAGACAGTTAACTGACCAGACAAAATGCCAGATATAAATGTAACACTGTCATCAACTGTAGTACCCTCACTACACACATTATTCACAATAGTCACACGACTGGCAACCATCAAATAGAACCGTTATCATTTCTCATGCGACGGATGTGTGAAACTATAGCCTTTTCTAAGTTTCCTCTCAAACTAAAACGCGACGGTTTCACTCTTTTGTGGACTAATCATTCAATAGTCAACACTATATAAACTATATAAACGTTATCACAACACTGCGAGAAGCTAAAGACTTACCTTGCTGTTACTGCCCCGCAGTAGAATCTTATATCAGTATGATAATACTGCGCCTCACGAAAAGTTCACAGCAGGTTCCAAACAACGCAACACAAGTTGTGCACGTTTCTTAGAAAAAAGAATACGATATTCCAGACGAAAACGACAAACTACGGTGCTGTTTACATCCAAACACTGTGCGAACCACAAAATATTCCGTGAATAATTAGCAGAATCTTTAAATTATAATTGGTACTCTTCAGCGTTGCCTTCACTTCCCCTCCTTATGGCGACAATGGCGGAAGAACACTATGCAGTGCGGCAAACAGGCTTCTGACTGCAAGTAAAGGAGTAGATGTGTGCAAACGTAAGACGATCGATGAGTCCTGTAAGATGCATAAAAACCCATTGAGCGATTATCAGAGTGATGTTATAAATAAATTCACGTTCGGTTTTGTCTGCGGGTTTCGTTGCACTAACCTCGCGGAGTGATACATCGTCAGAGCCACGCAACACGACCGAATTACTGCTAGTGACGTCACAAAATTGGGTTGAAATATTCTCATTTTGAAAGGGGTTGAAGGTCTGAAAGAAATGTGGCATTATTGGACACGACAAGTGCCCTGCGGGTTTTCAGTGACACACGCAATTTATATTACAACTAAACCTCTCAAAATAGTGAGATATTAGCAGGGATGTATGTCTTATATTTTCTTATGGTAAGAATACCCTAGTCTGGCTCACACCGTGAATGGTGAACTCTTCCAGATTAGTCGATATGCAGTGAGTGTTGAAGGAGCAGTGGACTGGCGTGTCTGGTTCCCTACAAATGGTCAGGACAAACTTCAAATGTTCCTCCTAAAGAGAATATGTAATTGCGACCATGTCAAACCTTGTATAGCAGACTATGAGTGAGGATGTCATTGTCTGACTTTAATAGGTCAGGCGCTGACACCAACTCACTCCCCCAGCTCGCAGTTTTGGTTTCGTCTATGACCTAGTCTAATTCACCTGACTTGACAACTCAGTTAGTATATAGTCAAACGCAGCCTTTCTCTAAACGTGAACTTTAGGAGGCGAAACCGGTTATCGATCGAGTATTGGCGTTCCGTGAACAATGTACATTTTATTTGCCCTTTCCCGACAGGACGCCCACGTGGCATGGCTATTTACGTGCATCAAGGAGAACTGAGACCTCACACTATGTACACAGAAGATCAATACCAGATTGTACATGAGAATATTTACCGGTAAATTATATTATACTTATGAACACTCTGTACTGCGGCAATTGTTGCCTTTGTGCCCGACAGCGGAACACGATACATAACACACCCGAGATGTCACTGTGTAAAGCATTTCTTTCGGGTTTCGCCTGTCCCGTCGATAGAAATAGAAAAAAACTAGGAACACTGAGACCGAATTAAACGTAATTATTATCCGTACTGCAGTACTGAATTAACACAGCACATCATATCAGTGTTGTCATCTACAATGATATACACTGCTGAATACCTAAATTCTTTAACTTCCCCACTTCCAGGTAATATATTTTGGTGATGGCAACTCGAACAATCACGTGATACTGCTTCAGGTAAACAAGGGCCAAAACATGTTTCACTGGTCACATTGAGATGCTTGCTGAGGCCAACAGGGGCCATCACATGTTTAACTGGGTATATTGAGAGGCTTGCTGAGGCCAACAGGGGCCATAACATGTTTCACTGGGTACATTGAGATGCTTGCTGAGGTAAACAAGGGCCATAACATGTTTCACTGGGTACATTGAGATGCTTGCTGAGGTAAACAAGGGCCATAACATGTTTCACTGGGTACATTGAGATGCTTGCTGAGGTAAACAAGGGCCATCACATGTTTAACTGGGTACATTGAGAGGCTTCCTGAGGCCAACAACGACCATCACATGTTTAACTGGGTACATTGAGAGGCTTGCTGAGGCCAACAGGGGCCATCACATGTTTAACTGGGTACATTGAGAGGCTTGCTGAGGCCAACAGGGGCCATCACATGTTTAACTGGGTACATTGAGAGGCTTGCTGAGGCCAACAGGGACCATCACATGTTTAACTGGGTACATTGAGAGGCTTGCTGAGGCCAACAGGGGCCATCACATGTTTAACTGGGTACATTGAGATGCTTGCTGAGGCCAACAGGGGCCATCACATGTTTAACTGGGTACATTGAGATGCTTGCTGAGGCCAACAGGGCCATCACATGTTTAACTGGGTACATTGAGATGCTTGCTGAGGCCAACAGGGGCCATCACATGTTTAACTGGGTACATTGAGATGCTTGCTGAGGTCAACAGGGGCCATCACATGTTTAACTGGGTACATTGAGATGCTTGCTGAGGTCAACAGGGCCATCACATGTTTAACTGGGTACATTGAGATGCTTGCTGAGGGGGCCAACAGGGACCATCACATGTTTAACTGGGTACATTGAGATGCTTGCTGAGGCCAACAGGGCCATCACATGTTTAACTGGGTACATTGAGATGCTTGCTGAGGGCCAACAGGGGCCATCACATGTTTAACTGGGTACATTGAGAGGCTTGCTGAGGCCAACAGGGGCCATCACATGTTTCACTGGGTACATTGAGATGCTTGCTGAGGCCAACAGGGGCCATCACATGTTTCACTGGGTACATTGAGATGCTTGCTGAGGCCAACAGGGGCCATCACATGTTTCACTGGGTACATTGAGATGCTTGCTGAGGCCAACAACAACCATCACATGTTTAACTGGGTACATTGAGAGGCTTGCTGAGGCCAACAGGGGCCATCACATGTTTCACTGGGTACATTGAGATGCTTGCTGAGGCCAACAGGGGCCATCACATGTTTCACTGGGTACATTGAGATGCTTGCTGAGGCCAACAAGGGCCATAACATGTTTCACTGGGTACATTGAGATGCTTGCTGAGGCCAACAGGGGCCATAACATGTTTCACTGGGTACATTGAGATGCTTGCTGAGGTAAACAGGGGCCATAACATGTTTCACTGGGTACATTGAGATGCTTGCTGAGGCCAACAGGGGCCATCACATGTTTCACTGGGTACATTGAGATGCTTGCTGAGGCCAACAGGGGCCATCACATGTTTCACTGGGTACATTGAGATGCTTGCTGAGGCCAACAACGACCATCACATGTTTCACTGGGTACATTGAGATGCTTGCTCAGGGTCAACAGGGCCATCACATGTTTCACTGGGTACATTGAGATGCTTGCTGAGGTCAACAGGGGCCATAACATGTTTCACTGGGTACATTGAGATGCTTGCTGAGGCCAACAGGGGCCATAACATGTTTCACTGGGTACATTGAGATGCTTGCTGAGGTCAACAAGGGCCATCACATGTTTAACTGGGTACATTGAGAGGCTTGCTGAGGCCAACAGGGGGCCATCACATGTTTAACTGGGTACATTGAGATGCTTGCTTGCTGGGCCAACAGGGGCCATCACATGTTTAACTGGGTACATTGAGATGGGGCCAACAGGGGCCATTGTTTAACTGGGTACATTGAGATGCTTGCTGAGGTCAACAGGGGCCATCACATGTTTCACTGGGTACATTGAGATGCTTGCTGAGGCCAACAGGGGCCATCACATGTTTCACTGGGTACATTGAGATGCTTGCTGAGGCCAACAGGGCCATCACATGTTTCACTGGGTACATTGAGATGCTTGCTGAGGCCAACAGGGGCCATAACATGTTTCACTGGGTACATTGAGATGCTTGCTGAGGTCAACAGGGGCCATAACATGTTTCACTGGGTACATTGAGATGCTTGCTGAGGTAAACAAGGGTCCATAACATGTTTCACTGGGTACATTGAGATGCTTGCTGAGGCCAACAGGGGCCATCACATGTTTCACTGGGTACATTGAGATGCTTGCTGAGGCCAACAGGGGCCATCACATGTTTCACTGGGTACATTGAGATGCTTGCTGAGGTCAACAGGGGCCATCACATGTTTCACTGGGTACATTGAGATGCTTGCTGAGGCCAACAGGGGCCATCACATGTTTCACTGGGTACATTGAGATGCTTGCTGAGGCCAACAGGGCCATCACATGTTTCACTGGGTACATTGAGATGCTTGCTGAGGCCAACAGGGGCCATCACATGTTTCACTGGGTACATTGAGATGCTTGCTGAGGTAAACAGGGGCCATAACATGTTTCACTGGGTACATTGAGATGCTTGCTGAGGTAAACAGGGGCCATAACATGTTTCACTGGGTACATTGAGATGCTTGCTGAGGTAAACAGGGGCCATAACATGTTTCACTGGGTACATTGAGATGTTTGCTGAGGCCAACAGGGGCCATCACATGTTTCACTGGGTACATTGAGATGCTTGCTGAGGCCAACAGCGACCATCACATGTTTAACTGGGTACATTGAGATGCTTGCTGAGGCCAACAGGGGCCATCACATGTTTCACTGGGTACATTGAGATGCTTGCTGAGGCCAACAGGGGCCATCACATGTTTCACTGGGTACATTGAGATGCTTGCTGAGGCCAACAGGGGCCATAACATGTTTCACTGGGTACATTGAGATGCTTGCTGAGGTAAACAGGGGCCATCACATGTTTCACTGGGTACATTGAGATGCTTGCTGAGGTCCAACAGGGGCCATCACATGTTTAACTGGGTACATTGAGATGCTTGCTGAGGCCAACAGGGGCCATCACATGTTTAACTGGGTACATTGAGATGCTTGCTGAGGCCAACAGGGCCATCACATGTTTAACTGGGTACATTGAGATGCTTGCTGAGGCCAACAGGGGGCCATCACATGTTTAACTGGGTACATTGAGATGCTTGCTGAGGCCAACAGGGGCCATCACATGTTTAACTGGGTACATTGAGATGCTTGCTGAGGTCCAACAGGGGCCATCACATGTTTAACTGGGTACATTGAGATGCTTGCTGAGGCCAACAGGGGCCATCACATGTTTCACTGGGTACATTGAGATGCTTGCTGAGGCCAACAGGGGCCATCACATGTTTCACTGGGTACATTGAGATGCTTGCTGAGGCCAACAGGGACCATCACATGTTTAACTGGGTACATTGAGATGCTTGCTGAGGTCAACAGGGGCCATCACATGTTTAACTGGGTACATTGAGAGGCTTGCTGAGGCCAACAGGGGCCATCACATGTTTAACTGGGTACATTGAGATGCTTGCTTGAGGGCCAACAGGGCCATCACATGTTTAACTGGGTACATTGAGATGCTTGCTGAGGCCAACAGGGGCCATCACATGTTTAACTGGGTACATTGAGATGCTTGCTGAGGCCAACAGGGGCCATCACATGTTTAACTGGGTACATTGAGAGTTTAACTGGGTACATTGAGATGCTTGCTGAGGCCAACAGGGGCCATCACATGTTTAACTGGGTACATTGAGATGCTTGCTGAGGCCAACAGGGGCCATCACATGTTTAACTGGGTACATTGAG